TAGACCTTTTAGCTGAGTGGTTAGAGCGTCGGAGTCTGAACTGGTGCTCGGGTTAGGTCGTAGGTTCGAACCCCGGCCCAGGACCAGAAGGGGTTTTATCTGTTTCTACTGGCATCCGCGGATCCAGAAATTTGTGAACGGGGGGCGCACCACCTGACGTGGCCGAAGGCGCGGGGGGAGAGCACGAGAGGGGGGAAGCCCCCTCTCGTTGGGGGGGTTTGGGGGGCCTCCCCCAGAAAAATTTTAAAATTGAGAGTCTCTCTGGTGTATTTTAGAGTCATTTCTGAGCAAATAACCAACGAACTAATACTGATGTTTTCAGTACATTCATGTGCCTGTCGGTACATTTTACGACTGAAAAAATAGAATATTGAAAATGCATCTATGTTTTGGACGACTAAATTTCACGGAACGGGGCAAATAAAGAGTTCGCGATGCATCTAAGTTAGCGAAAAAAAAAGAACCAAATACAAAAGGAAATGCCGCCTCTTTATAGACCGGATCACTTACATCATTTTCCGATCGCGGGGAACGCGCGGTCACAACATCGCAGCACTCAAATACACTAACGGATAACAATAATGTGACAACATGTGAAGTAACGGCCGTGGCGACGGAGCGCTGCGCACGTGTTTACCATTTTCAAGAGTTCACCAAATTTTTAGGACAATACTAAATTCTGGAGCGCCGGGTGTCAGCGGAAGACACACATTGAATGGGGCCACCTTGCCTGCTGTAACCTGGCCGGACCACGGAAAAGTTAGCTCGGCGTAGCTAGTTTATAAACAATTCGATTGCAGAGGAGTGAACCTGTGCTACCGAATTTAAAATTTGATGCAAACCAATTTACCAAAACAAGAACGAGGGGCTACTGGCATGGGGCTTACTATTCTGAACGGGAACGAGCGAAAAGGTTTTAAAAAATATCTCGTAAACTACTGCTTATGTCACAAAATCAAAGGTGGAAAGCTTCTCGTCGCTGGGACGTTCCCACGTGTTGCCAAGACGACGGCACGTTCTGATCAGACAAAGCGGCGTCACGCCCTCAGCACAGGCATTGGCCCCGCCCACCGGGCGGGCGGCAAAAGATTTCAAAGGCCCAAATATTGTAGCAAACCGTGCCGTGTACATATACCCCGCATTTTCACTTCGTACCGCTTGCTGGTATAGTCCCGCTCCAAATTGATTTTCCTGCAGCATTTCTTAGGATTTAAAGAGATTTCGTGATACGAAATGAAACTATTTCGGTCAACTGAACCTTTGTAATGGCATGCATTACATGGATGTAATCTTTGTTAAACTTAAAGATTTCTGTGAAAGCCGAAAGTGCATTAGAACTGGCCATCAGTTGAGGCACAACTACCATGTTATATTCATGTTACGTTACGACGACCAAGAACGTTCACGGCTTGCAGACCATTTTAAATCTTACCAACCCTCTTAGAATTGTGTTTACTCTTACGGGGGTATTTATTTTCGGCCGGGGTTCCACTGAGATCGGCGGCTGGCTGGCGAACTATCCCGTCGGCATGACCTACGAGTACCGGGCGTCTTTGCACTCGGGACGTGAGTGACCTAGTACATTTTCTTACCGTGCGTCCGAGTCTTGTTTTACTGCAACGTCGTGTTAATATCGACGATGGATGGGAGGCACAAAGGTTAGGGATTCACAGTAGTGTGTTAACAAGTAAACAATAATCGAGCCTAGGCGTGGTGGGGCGTGCCCGCTAATAGTGTAAAATCTGGATTATTAACACGTGCGCGGCGCTCCATCGCCCCGGCCATGTACTTCTACAGTCCGTGACGTATCCGGGAAGAACTGGTCGTAACCATAGGCTTCCTTTCTATTCTTTGTGTTATGTTTTTTTCTGCGATTTTGTGTTTGGCCAGTCGTCTAAATTTTTTTGGCCCGGTCGAACGGGGGGGCGCGCGCCGGGTGCGCCCCCCTCTGGATCCGCGGGTGACTGGCTCCTCCTGTTTCTTACAGTACTTCCCGAAAGCAGGTTGGGACATCCTCACTTGAAAGGGACAATTGAAATTTATTTTCGGGACAGTGCTGGAACAATAGGAGGAAAAGTTAATTTCAAGGCCTGTTTAGGAGCAGACTGGCAACTGTTAAAACTTTTGGATACCTTAGGCCACACCAATTTAATTTGTTGGTTCTCGGATTTTTTCAGAAAAAATATGAAGCGACAGGGCGAAAAAAAATAAAAATAAAAGCAGGTCTAGGCATGCTATTATAGGCTTAAATGCTACAAAATGAGCCATGAAGTCAACACAAAAGGCTGGGTTAAAATTTAAACATTGAATTTTGAACTTTTAATCAAACCACTGCAATGATAGATGGAAAACTGTAACAACTAGGAAGAAAAGGACTTTCCTCAACTGTTGGGGGGCAAAACATGAGCATTTTTCAGTTGATTCAGGACCAGAATCAATTTTTTTTTTTTTTGCAAATCAGAAAAAAACGAAGAGGCGAATCCGAGAACCAACAAATTAAATTGGTGTGGCCTTAGCTCTTGTTACCTCAAGTCACCCCTGACATTTTCTCATGCAAAGGTGCAGAAAGTCACCATACAGATGAGACTGTGCCAAACTTTCTTTGCCAAACCTCGCACACTGTCAGCACCAGAAATTGGAATTAGAAGAAAGGTCCTGCCCAGAGGAAATTGAAATAACCTGCGGAATATACACTGTATCCGGAAGGACATGTTTCCTGCATTCAATAGCCTGGTAACTGCAATCCCATATGTTTCACCTGCATGCGTGACATTTCATCTGCATTGGTAGATGACACGGAAACTAAACTCTGGGTCCGACACACAAATTGATTAGTTCTACCAAATTACCAACCAGCCATTCAGAAATTCCCCAGAAGATTAAGAAGTAGTCATCATGTCTGCAAAGATTTGGGCTGAAAATTTGGTATGTCTAATTCGGTAAGTTTGGTGTATTACCGGTGCCATGTTAACATACTTGTAAGGGTCTATGTGCATATGTAGATGTAATGCATCTACATTGTACTTGCAAGATGTACATGGGGGCACGCAAGCCCTTTTCCATAGAGCGTGATCGGCCGTTTTAATTCTACGTAGAGCGTAGACGGACCGCTCTTCGCATTTTGCGTAGAGCATATTCGCCGTTTTAATTCTACGTAATGCGCGTTGTAGCCACTTAGAATTTATCGTAAAGCTTATAATCGAGAGGTTTCCGAATTCAGCGTAGAACATTGTCAGGACCCCCCCCCCCTTGCAGGCCCTCGTACATGTATACCATGCCCGTAGCCAGGATTTTGAATGGGGGGTTCTTCCCACTGCTTGAAGGACCAGCGAGCCCTATGCAGGTTCATAGGAATGAACCCTCTGAAATTGCATTTCCTGTGTTTTCGAGAGGATTTAAAAGAAAAATAAGAGATAACTTTTTATTCAATGACAAAGTGAGCAGTTTTCCTACGATTCCAGCCCTGCTGGTGATACAATTCAGTCCATCTTTTGAAGAAAAATCTTGAAACCCCCCATACCCCCCCCTGGCTACGGGCATGTATACCGGGAGTACATTACCTGGTACTATAGGCAAATACGGTCCACAGCAACATGTGGCAATGCATTACTATTCCAAGCACTTCCCGTGATTACTGCCCACTTTTGAGCATGACTGGCAATTTTCCCCCCGACATTGTCTGTAGAATGTGGCAGCCTTCAACAAACAAGTTCAAAAGCAGTTGGAAGCCAACTGAACCAAGTCTGTTGCCATGCAAGCTTTAAAGGTCTGAATCAGTACCAGAAGCGTTATCATGTGTTGTCTGGAAGGACTAAAAGTGCTGTGCGAAGGGCGCTCTTTGAGAGTCGTAATTAAGTCCGAATTACTTTTCACGCCCATGTTGGAAGAAGTGCTTTGATCTATTGTACGCTGGATAGAATTTAGATGCCAGGCGATTCACCAAATGTAATGCCAAGGGAAACGGACTTTGTCTGGAATATATTTCCAGTCGGATGCTTGCTGTGGTCGCCTCACTTCACTCCAGCAGGCAACTGGTACTGTGTGTCGTTTGGAAAACGTATTGCATCTGTTGGGACATAATTTTTTCAGTTTGTTAGTATATATAGACTGGTTTTTCTAGATTAGATCTAGCCATTCATGTTTATGGCTTTGAGAGTGGCACTTTTGGTAAAAAATCTTTATCTGTTCATTGCATTCCCAGCTCTTTGCATACATGAACATGTACATGTAGGACGTATGTGTTACAGAATCTGATGCTTTGTCCTTCTGTTTTGCAGTTAGCTAGACTGATTTTTTTAAGTTAGATCTAGAAATTCATGACTTTGACGGTGGTAATTTTGGTAAAAATCTGGATCCGTTACTGTTAATTGAATTTTTTACAGAATTTGGACTTGCACAGAGGCCCGGATCTTTGCATAAGGACGTGTTGAGCTCCGAATATGAGATGTGTCTTTTCGCATGTGCAGACAAGTTCTCTGGACTTCTCGCCAAGACTTCTGAAGTCGGTGTTGTAGTTGTGTAGTTGGTAAGACCTCCTGTGCCAATTCCTGCATATGCCGCGACTCCGTCACCTCCATACGACCATACATGTACATAGACTACATTTTGTTACGGAATCTGACGTTTTACTCTTCTATTTTGCAGGCACCACTATGCAACAACACCATAGGTGACTAAAAGTGCCTCGTCGGAAAGTCTCTCCCATCTAATTGAGTTTTGTTTTTACAGAATTTGCATAGTCTTGCACAGAGGTTCTTTGCATACATGTAGGACGTACCGGTATGTGTTACAGAATCTGATGTTTTACTCTTCTGTTTTGCAGGCACCACCATGCAACAACACTGTAGATGACTAAAAGTGCCTCGTCCCAGTCTCTCCTGTCTAATTGAATCTTTTTACAGAATTTGCATGTTCTTTAACAGAGGTTCAGCTCTTTGTATACATGTAGGACGTACCAGTATGTGTTACAGAATCTGATGTTTTACTCTTCTGTTTTGCAGATAACCACCATGCGACAACACCGTAGGTGACAAAACAAGTGCCTCGTCCCAGCTCTCTCCCGTCTCGCTGACAGGCGATTGCGATGACCAAACGCCGTCGCATCGTCCTATGGGGTGCCATCGTTTTCCTGGCGTGGAACATTCTCACCTTCTTCGTCGTGCACAGGCCGTCCACAGATCAACAGGTGGGTGTTCCATAGTTCACACTTAAGTCTACTAGTAGGCTATTTGAACATAGGAACCCCCTAGGCTGTGATTTGGACCCCCTATGCTGTGATTTGGACCCCTATGCTGTCTTTCAACCAGCATAGAGGTGTTTTTTGGCGAGAGAACCTTTATAAATCTCGCCAAAAAAATGAAAATATAACTTTTTGTCTTTAGAATGAAGCTATAGCAAAGGGAAAAACAACATCTGTCCCTCAATAAGCGAGAAATAGTGTTTGGAGGGGTTGTGAGTTTCAGAATTGTTCGAGAAGGATAACAGACCCCTTGCTGTGGTCATGTTTTTTGGAGTCAATGCGCAACTTGCACTTGTCCTTCTGTACCTGACCCCTAGAATGTGCGCTGTGAAACGGGAATTTTCCATTTGAAAAGTTACAGACTAGGGAAATTCAATGCGATGTTTCCAGTTTCAGTCCTGAAAAAACTTTCACAACTGGTATTAAGTTTTGTTGTTCATGTCTAGATCTTTAATAATTTATTAGCACCCATAGTGATGACTAAGTACCTATGGCATTTTGAATGTTGTAACAGGGCTTAAATTTTATTTATGTCGTAACAGGTTTTATCTCGTTTTCTCGCACTACATGTAGTATGTTACTACTATGCATGTTGTACTGGTATCCAGATTTGTTGTGCATGTTGTAACAGGTTTTATCTAGTACTACATCTGTTATTCAGATTTTGTTGTGCATGTTGTAACAGGACTGGTGTCCAGGTTTAAATTTGTTGTGCATGTTGTAACAGCACTCGTGGTGATGGCCATGTGGGGTGTTGTGCATGTTGTAACAGGACTCAGATGCCTAGACTTGGTTGTGCATGTTGTAACCAGCACCCATATGTGGTGCATGTTGTAACAGGTCCCCTCCGATTTGTTGAAGAAACTGGAAGCTCTGCAGTCTGAGGTTCAGCGTCAGATGAACAACAATGAGGCACTGCTCAGGGACCTCAAGAAACAGAAAGACCTGCTCAACAGTAAGTCAACTTCACATGGTAAAGGACTAGTTACCTCCGGGGGAGGAGACATCCTTCTGCGGAAGGGTTTTGTGAGAGATTTAGATTTTCATGTTCGCAGCTGTTTCTCGCGTTTGGGTGTACGGATTCATTTGAGACTCGGTTTATGTTATGCTATTGGGTTGCAGATAATGCACGTTCTTTTGTTTTTATTGTATATGTGTTTTCGGGCGTGAAAATGGTGCCTTTTGGTGGCCCCAGAACACCCCTTTGAGCGTGAAAGTGGTCGCGACCGTTGACCTTTGGCGTGTATTAGGCATTGTCGGTCTCGTCCACGAAGGTGACCCCTTGCACAGAGGGGTGTCCGGTCTCGATAAATTCTTTGTTTAAAACCCTAGTCCTGCTGCGCGCAACAATTGTTGTTGTAAGCAACATATAAAAATATACAATAAAAAGCCTTGAGGTATAAAATCTCAGATTTTACTTGTTCTTTGTAAATTGGCTCCTTGGATGCTTCACTTTTAGGTTTGTAATGGAGAGGAGTTACAGACAAATTACTTTTCAATCCCTGAGGTCTAATTCATTAGGACGTAAAGCCATCTAGATTTTATCAAGGAGAGCGAAATGAAGGCATGTGGAAAACCCAATAACGCATGCTATAGATGGAAAAATGCATGGAAACCATGAGAATAGAACACTGCAATCGGACATCACACACCTGTTAGATTCATGCTTGTGTTACTATATATGTTTGTACACTACACGTAACTATATATTTATGATTCTAGATATCTTTAATCTAAGCCTAAAATAATAGTGAGCAATGGATGATTTGGTCTTACTTATGGAACAAGGTATACAGAAATTGACCTACATGTCTGTAGGCAGACATGGGAGTTGGATGCGATATGAGGAAAGTATCTTTCTTGTTAAGGCCATACCAATTTAATTTCTTGGTTAACGGATTTTTCTAGAAAAATAATGGAGCGGGCGGACAAAAAAAAATAAAAATAAAAACAGGCCTAGGCATCCTATTATGGTCCAAAATGGTACGATAGGAGCCATGAAGTCAACACACCAGGCTGGTTCAAAATTTGAACAATGAATTTTGCAATTATACTATAATTGCATTTAAAGATGGAATAACTGTAACAACTAGGATGAAAATGACTGTTCTCAACTGTTCAGGGCAAAATATGAGCACTTTGCAGTTGATTCTGAATTTTTATTTTTATTTGCAAATCAGAAAAAAATGAAGCGGGCGAATCCGTTAACCAAGAAAATAAATTGGTGTGGCCTAATGGAGGTTAAATTTTTTTCCAGGGTATAGGACCGGTAACGCTGGAGTACAGATGGACCAAGGGGGGAGGGTGAACCACTCTGCACACATCACACACAGACTACAGTCTCCTGCCGGCGATGTGGTCATTCCTGTACTGGTCATCGCCTGTAACAGACCAACCGTCAGAAGATCACTCGACCTGTTGGTCAAGTAAGTACTTACTTACATTGTACTTGATTAGGCCACAGCAAGTTATTTCTATGGCTGACATTACTTTGATGCAGGGATTTATTTCATTCCTTTTATATGTGATGTTCCCACTGAATCAAAACCATTTGTACAATGATTAAAAACTTTTATTTTTCAGTTACAATGGATGTTGTGATAGTTGGCAGTATTAAAACTTAGCGCAATATTGGTATCATTTCTTGTTTAACAAGGTTTATGATGTCAAAATGTAGGAATCTTGTTTTTTTTTTTGCCACCTTTTTTTGCCCTATCACATTAGATTTGGAGTCTGCGGAGGATGACAACCATAAAATTTACTTACTGTGGCCTTACTTGTACTTAACTTATCCTCTTCATACCTTGTGAGACATTGACATAAGGCCAAGACTTTTTCCTCCATCTGGGTCTGTCCTTGGCCACCTTCTTCACTGTTCTTTTTTTCTGAAAATCTATATAGTCATTAGAGTTCTATTTTCAATTGTAACAGATTCAACATTTTATAAACTGTACTAATAAACTGATGGGCGTCCCAACTACTAAGTACCTAATACCAGCCTAGAAGAGAAAAAGAAATAGCCATGCCTTCAAGTACCAGAATTATCAACCAAGGATTGAGGTGTTCAAGAATTCATTCTTTCCTAGAACTTTTGCAGAGTGGAACTCGCTGTCACCAAGTACAGTAGGGCCATTGTCATTAGATAGCTTTAAACAATGTCTAGAGTTAGAAGTCCAAGGGTTAGGTGTAACAAGTCGATCGGTGTAATGTAGCCAGCTGCCGCCGCGCCGCGTGCCTGCGAAGCTGGTGTGTTACGCCAAAAGGCGGTTATACCGGCTACACAGATATAGACAGATTTGTTCAAAAACTTCTGCGCGTACATTACAGATCTGTAGCGTAATCTTTGAGTATACTGAAAAGCCTGTCATTACTACTTCCATTTATACTAAAAGTGTTAAACATCATGCATGGCCCAGCATGCTAAAGCGATTTGTATGGTTTGGGAATAGTATTTGCTTCCTGTTTGTATAGTTACCTTAACAATTACTATTTCTCGCGAGGCAATACAATTCAATCATTGTCTGGGAATTTGATAGGGACCATTAATTTTGTGGATGTTAAGAGAATTAGCTTTAGGAAACTGTATACTCACAGGACTGGTCAACCCTTAGTTTACATATAGATTGAACCATGTTGGGGATGTGTGAGGGTTGATTGAATCTGCATTTATTCAGATTGATTTTGTGGTAAAACAGTTGCTTTGGACTGTTTTCTTTTCATTCCATCCAAAAGCATTGGTCCCTGGTAATCTTTGACATTCATCCTGCAAAGGCCACACCAATTTAATTTGTTGGTTCTCAGATTTTTTCAGAAAAACTATGAAGCAACAGGGTGAAAAATAAAAAGTAAAAACAGGTCTAGGCATTCTATTATAGCCCCAAATGGTACGATAGGAGCCATGAAGCCAATACAAAAGGCTGGGTTGATATTTAAACCATGAATTTTGAACTTTTAATCAAACCACTGTATTGATAGATGGAAAAACTGTAACAACTAATAAGAAAGGGACTTTCCTCAACTATTGAGGGCAAAATATGAGCATTTTTTAGTTGATTCAGAACCAGAAGCTGCTTTTTTTTTCTTCAATGTGTTGGTAGCTGTAAGTAGCTTTGTTCCAACACAAAGAAGGAACTCACCACAAATTTTCTGTCAAACTTGGAGCCTGAAACTTGATAACGTTCGAGCTGAACGTTCTCTTTGATCTTCGATCCACTGTGCTGACTTACCGGAATCGAGATAATGTCAGGAGTGAATAAAACGTGGCGGGAAAGCGTAATCTTCCACTGTCACAGTTACATATTTTTCCTGACGTGATGTGTACTGTTGTTTTTTTAGGCACCGGCCAAATGAACACCAGTTTCCCATCATAGTGAGTCAGGACTGTGGCCATCAGGAGACTTCAACTGTCATCAAGTCATACGGAGACAAAATAGCACATTATATACAGGTATGGGGAGACAAAATAGCACATTATATACAGGTAAGGGGAGACAAAATAGCACATTATATAGTATTACATGTTGTTACAGTATTATAGCTAGTCTGTTGTAGTGCAAAAGTGCCTCCTAGTGACCAATAGTATTACTACACCCATGGTTGGGCAGGAAGTTGCCTACAAACCATAGGTTAAAGTTGAAGCAAATGAGACGAAATATTATTCTACAAGAATATATTTGGCCAGTATCTTTTATTGGTGGAAACATCTATTGTCCACAGCCCATGATGGTTGTCCACTAGTCAGGGTTGAATTTTTAGATTTTCATGTACATGCATGTAGAAGGAAGAGCTGAAATTAAACATGGTTATGTTTACCAAAGGAAAACATAGTTTTTGCTCTGTTTCTTCTTCTTCCATTCCAAACACTGACCATCTGACCTGGTCAATGACCTGAACCAGACTGTCTGTCACCATGGTAACTGGTGTTGGGTTACATAATGTTGCAATTTTATAGCAGGAGGGATTTAGACTCCTGTCACCATATACAAAATGAATGTGTTTACCTTAAGGAAGAATTGACAGAGTAGATCACATGCAAAGGTAAACATTATGCATTTGCTTGGCAAATATTACCTTTCTAGTTTTATGCCTTATTTATTTCTTTCTCACTCCAGCAACCTGACCTGAGTGACATCCCAGTCCCTCCCAACCATAAGAGGTTACAAGGTTACTACAAGATCTCCCGCCACTACAAGTGGGCCTTGAACCAAGTCTTCAACGGGCTTGGATATGGAAGTGTCTTAATAGTAGAAGGTGAGAAGGATATCTTGCCTGAAATGGCATTTCAGTGAAGTAAAGATGAGGAAAATGTAGAGCTATGTCTGAACTCATTGGCTATGTGGGTCTTGAAATATCCATTTTCAACACGTAGAAACTTTTTTCTAGATTGGAGATAGAAATACAGACGACTCGCAATTTTGTGGGATAAAGAATTTCAAAAATAAGGTAATTAATAGGCTATTAATTACCTTACTTCTGAAATTCTTTATCCCACAAAATAAGCATATTAAATCTTGAGCTATCGGAGGGCATGAACAATGTTTTGCTTATTTGCAAATAGTTAATCAAAAGTGACGTTAAAACAGCTTGCAATGCAGAGGTACATTGTAAAGGGTGTAGTAGACAGAAAGTTTCAATTTTCACTATTAAAACCCGTAAGGCTCTGACAAAGTACAGTATTTCAATAGAACCACTGATTTTTGTCCAAATTCTTTTCATTTTGAATATTTTTCTAACATGACTCCATGTTTTGTTTTCTTCCAGATGATCTAGACATAGCTCCTGACTTCTTTGACTACTTCCTGAGCACGCTCCCACTGCTACAGCAGGACTCCTCTCTCTGGTGTGTCTCTGCCTGGAACGACAACGGAAAGGAACACATGACAGACACCAACAGACAAGGTCTGATTTACCTTTGCAGATGGAACACATTGCTTTTGCTCTGCTTCTTCTTCTTCAAACATATAAGGTCAATGATGTCTGTCACTATAATGGTAACTGGTGCTGCAATAGGCGCCCTGTGGTGTTGGGTTACATTTGATTATGTAGCAGGGCAGAGTTGGAGGGGCTGGTCACAACGTACCTGTGTGAATGTGTTTGAATAAGAATAAACAGAGAAGTAGTTTGTTAGTCTAGACCATGTGGAAGGAAACATTATGCATTTGCTTTGCAAATGTTACCTCTCTCATTGTTTATAGTTTTTACAAGATTTTTTTTAGTTTGAACATATTATATATTACTTCTAAAAACTGTGTGTATGTGTGCCTGTGTCTGAATGTGAATGTGTGTTTGATTTCATGTGTATGTAAACCTTACAATGAGATGAAAAACCCCATTGAAATTCAACATAATTTTACTTCAAGGCTTGTTGAACATCATTCTGAATTCTCTGTGCACCAGGTTTTTTTTCCAGACCTACTATGACTCTTGCTACTGTCCTTGGTGCTGAAATTGTTTCCTGTTGTTACATTTTTCAGACTTGCTGTACAGAACAGACTTCTTCCCAGGTCTGGGCTGGATGATGCTGAAAAACATCTGGGATGAGTTAGAGCCCAAGTGGCCAGCCAGGTGTGTTTTGAAATCTCTGAAGAGTTTTTCTTTTCTTTTTGTTTTGTTTTTATGTTTGTTTGTTTAAGTTGTCACCGGATAGTGAGTGAGTGTGTTGATGGGTGGGTGTCAAGGCCGCAAAGTTGGATTTTCAATGTCAGTTTTCTGGTGATTCTTTTAAAGTAGCAAGTTGAATGAACCCTATCCTACAGCATACTGATATCTGTGACTGACAGAAATGGTTGCTTGTTTTGTATCACAGCGTTGTTCTAGCCATCTATGGGTACCAAAGTACCAAAAAAAATTAAAAAGACTCTGCTCATAGCTTTTTAGCTACATTGTATTTCTAAGGCTTTAAGTATGAAATGATGACAAAAATGTGTTAAGAAATGGCAGTAAATGTCAATATCAGATTTCCTCATCCAGAATATTTTTTGTCTCCCTCCATGAAATTGCATTGAATGAATATCCCTTGTGTTGTGTTTAGTTTCTGGGATGACTGGATGAGGCACCCTGACCAGCGGAAGGACCGGGCCTGTATACGGCCGGAAATCTGCAGGACCAGCACATTCGGCAGGGTGGGGGTCAGCAAGTAAGTTTCCTTTCTTCTGTATAACCTTTTAACCCTTTGAAGTACAAAAACACTGTAAGTGTCCTTAGTTCTCTACGGGCTTTCCATTCTATTACATTAATTTTGTAACCAATACAAAGTTGGTGTATCCAACTACTTTCAACAACTACACAAGAGACTGAGAAAAATAGTGGGTGACTAGGATTGTGACTGCAAAAATGGACCTAATCACTAAGTACCTAATCACTAAGTATCACTAGTACTGGAATCAAGCTTGTCTGTAGCTTAAAATGCTGGTGACTGTGGGTGGTTGCTCCAGACCAGAGTGACTACCGGTAAAAACTTAATAAAATTGGCATATGACTAAAAGTGGTTTGCTGGCAAGTTTTGACTGTTATCGGAACAGTAAATGTCATCACATGAGAAGTTCAAACAAGGCCTACTAAAACACATGAGGGACATGAATAAGTAGAGCACATATGATGTTACACACTTGTTTTCTTTTAAAATACTATGTAATGTAAATGTATATGTAATTGTATGTGATGTATTGTTATGTCTTATGTTCCGTCTCCTGGAAGAGTAGCTGCCACCCTCGGGTGGGCAGCTAAAGGAGAGTTTTTCCTCAATAAACCTCAAAAAATGTGTAGAAGTTACAAGACTAAGAGACACTCTATGAATCTACATTTCTATACAGTTTACAGCCATTAGCCTGTAGATTTTCAGCCATCATCAGATGATATTGTCTGTAAAACATTTGGAACATCCCAATATTAAACATTGTGTCTTTTTTTACCCACAGGGGCCAATACTTTGACAAACATCTGAAGTTCATCAAGCTGAACACCAAGCCTTTTGATTTTACTCATACCGACCTTTCCTACCTCCTAAAGGTTTGTACACAACACGCATCATTCTATCATGAAAGTTCATCTGTTTTGGTAGTTACATGTTTAGAGTTAAAACCTTTGATCCAACACAAAGAAGTTCTCACCTAGAGCTTTCGACCAATCACTCTGGTCTTCCTCAGTAGACTGATCATCCTGCAATGTATGTAAACGTTTGTTGTTACCTTACTTTTCAAACTGATGACTCTAAGCGCTAAATGTTGTATAAATCTGAAAATAAAAATGAGAATATTCTTGAGTAAAGAGACTCTTTTTTACACAACCAAGTGTAGCAGTGACATCTGTGCTGCAATGCAATGTGAACCAGTCAGAACTGCCCTGAGGAAGGTGACAGACAGTCACCGAAACGTTGGCTGAATAAAAGACTTGATTGTGTAAAAAGAGTCTCTTTACTCAGTGTCTTACCAGCCTGATGAAACTATTCAGAATATTCTTGCCATCTTCTCTTCCAGGACAACTATGATAGAAGATTCATTAGTGAAGTATACAGATCACCACAACTAACTGTTAAAGAAGTCATCGCCAACCAACACGCTGAACACAATGTTGTTAGAGTTCAGTACAAGACCAAAGAAGAGTTCAAGGGTTTCGCTAAACAGTTGGGCATCATGGATGATTTGAAGGTGAGTTCTTTTTAATTTCAGGTCACAAAAGGGTAGTTTTGTGACTGACTAGGAAGTACAATCCAGATCCGTTGGCAATGCAGTACCTTAAACAAGGACAGGGGGCGTCACTACCTCAAACCTGTATATGACTGTCTCTTGTTACGTGATTATCACATCAAGTCACGTGACAAGAGAACTCCAAGACGAGATCTTACTTGGGTTGAAGAAGAAGTTGAGTGCGTCTCGAAAGCTCCCCAGTATAGCTGAACTTTTGTTGTGTGTTTCTGTATAAATATTTCGTCAAAAGTATGTACAATGTTGTTTTTCCAGGTCAACTTGTTGTTTAGAAATAAAATTTGTACAGGAGGTATCTAACTTCTAAGCCCTTCAGAATGTTGTGCAAAATGAGAGGATACATCGTAAAAAAATTGAGCACAAAATGAGTTCTGTTTTGGGGGGCAATCTTGCATCAAATTTAGGGTCTTTTTAGGACTGTGATATTCTAACTCCTTAAATGTGAAAATATGAGGTTTGAAGTCTTTACTGCTTTGTCTCAAAACAATTGATCTTTCCTTTTAAAAGACCTGTTACTAGTATTTTGCTGCATAATAATATATAATGTCATACCTTTATCTGATATTACTGCTCTTTAGCATTACACACCAAAACCTCAATATAAACTAATTATTTATTTCTTTGTTTATTTGTTTGTTTGTTTGTAGGCTGGTGTTCCAAGGGCAGGTTACCATGGCATTGTCAGCTTCATGTTCAAAGGTCGACGGGTGCACCTGTCACCCCCCGCGGACTGGACACAGTACGACCCGTCCTGGAGCTAACACCACACAAACCATGGGGAAAACAGCTCTCTGGACACTGCCACTTTACATCACGGGGGAGCGTGTTTTGTTCTTGGGAAAATAAGGTGCAAACCAGGACCAAGGATACTGTAGGAAGATGACCTTGCCACCCCTGCTTGAGGAATGGTTTCATCCAGCATACACCTAGCTGTTACACTGACCAATACTGGACAATTCACCAATGAATCTTCTTCAAAAAAATATTGTGCTGTTAATGTTTTTCCTTTAAAAAAAATTAAATAAAGAAGAAAATTATTATTGATAATTCTGTTGATCTTTCATACTCAATAGTGTTAGGCTCAGAAAAACACTGTTGGCTAATGAGAAAAAATCCACCCCATTGCAATGAAATGGAACGATCCACTCTCTGCCTTTGTATATGTTTTCTTGAAAATTTCTTGTGAGATTTTGACTGCCGGGTACAAGTGTCTTGTAAAGTGCAGTTCTTCTACAGGCTAAGTGTATGTATGTAATGTTTTCATCAATAGATTCAGAGAGAATTTTCTCAAAAATAAAAAGCCAGGGTTCACAATGATGTAATAATACATAAGATACCTGGCTTACATGCAATGTACAGTTGTTCTATTTATACTAAGAATTGTAAAAAAAAACACAGGATAGTCAAGGATGTGCCCTGGTAAGCTGGCACATTGGAAAATCTTTTTATAAACAGGACTTATATTACAACTGATATAGAAGGTAAAGTAAAGCTGAGCACAGTGAAATGTAAAGGAATGGATATGCTGATCACAAAATCAAATTTTACTTAGTAGAAATATTAATATCATTTATGTACAACCCACGAAAAGTGCTTCAAATAGCTCCTGCTTAATATTAGGTTTTAACAGCAATGTAAAAGCAGTATGTTGTTTCCAATGTGACTTCAAGCAACTTATTCTTTTATGTTTAACATCATTACTAACTTCATACTTGAATATCGAGCCTACCATTTAATGTGGTAAGTTTGTTATGAGGTTGAAACCAATGTACATACCCAAAATTTTCTTCTTTGTGATGCTGTGCCAATTTAGATGAGTAAAAACTGTATTATTATTGCAAACAGAAATCCGGCTCTTTGCATTAAGCAGCTAAAGGCTAATGGAGAAGCTGTTTTAGAGTGGGAGGGGACAGAGAACTAAAGGTGCTTTCATAAGGCCACAGCAAGTAATTTTTATGGATGACATCAGCGTGTGCATTAATTTTCGTCTGATGTTGCCCTCTGACAGTGGTTAACATGCCAAAAATGGGCAAAGATGTCTGTTGCCATGCCGGAAGGTGGATGGCAGATAGTATGAAGAGAGAAGACAAGAAAAGACTCTGATTTAATGTTTTGTTCCTTACTTTGATGCTATGTGATGTAGGCTGTGTATATGTGATGTTCCCACTGAATCAAAACCATTTGTACAGTGATTGAGTCAAAATTTTGAAATGTACATTGTAGGAACCTTGTTTTTTTCAGCCCACCTTTTTTTTTTGCCTGCTCACATTAGATTTGGAGTCTGCGGAGGATGTCATCCATAAAATTTAGTTGCTGTGGCCTAATGTACATGTACAATGAATATGCCACTTTTTGCTTTGGCATTTTCATGCATGAAACAAGTTTCCATTAATTTTATTATGTCTTTGACTCGTGTGAACATAGCTGAAATGGACTTACATTGGCACTTAGCATATTTTTTGGTGCAGGTCACATGTAAAATTTGTTGTAAAACATGTAAAATCCAAGTTGATGATTTTATCAAATTTGTACTATTTATGAAAATTGGAAAGTATCTAATTTGCTTGGGGGTAAGGCTGGTGTTTGTGAAAAAACATGACATAAAATTTTCAATCTTTCTGTATAAAATAAAGGGTTTGTTTGTGTTAAGAAAATATTCACTGATTCTTCTTTCTGGCTGTTAATTCATATTAATTCAGATATGCTAAATTTGAATTGATTATCATAATATTTCACCTGCTTTTATGATACATTTGTAGTTGGATGCAATGTCTTTTCATATTCATAGCATTTTGCTCGTTTGTAACTATCATTGCTAATAAGTTTAATATTCCATAAAAATATCACCAACCTAAAGGCGTAAGATCTCTTAAGAATATGGAGCCTTTGTAGTTATTGTAATGAAGAAAGAGCTTTGCTGTGTAATTATGTTACATATTCAAGTCATTGTTGTTATGTAGTACATTATTGAATCAACAGTGGATCCCATTATATTGCAGCTTTATTTTCTGTAAAATGATATTCATAAAATACCTAGCTTGGTATAGTTCACATTGCATAATTTTCAAAACTGGCCACTGTAATCCATGTGGGTAGTTCATTTAGTATAATTATTTTAATCTTTCGCATAGCAAACTCTGACTTCACATAGCATAATTTGATTTTTTTTCATTGTTAATAATGTTATGACTGTAATGTTCATTCAAAGTATCTTTAATTAGTTGTTACAAAATGTAGTATATTAGTTTTTTGTGTAAGTGGTGTTGTGTTATTTGTAGTTAGCCCTGTTTTTCTTTTTCAGTCTAAGAGATCAACAGCAATGACACTTGTGTATATTGTTTAAAGTGATAATTCATCACAGACCAATTAGAGCACTCCTTTCAGCTATCACCTCTGTGTTAGAACTATTTTATTATACTTTTAAGCATCCTCTTCTTTCATTGGATGGTGAGAATGATGATTGTGCTCTGATTGGCTAATTTAGTGTAGCTGGAATATACCACAGACCTTTGATCTGAGGGTATGGGAGGGTAGTAAAGGATTCAACTTGTGAAATATCTGTCAACATTTCATCTCTAATAGATTGATATTCCCAGAACTGGCTTTCTCTGAAGAATGGATTGCCGTGATAACTGAAGTATGCAGTGATTTCCTTCAAATCAACACAAATTTTGGCTTCTTCTAACTATTCTGGATTCAGAGTTGAGTAAGACCCTTCCACACCCTTGCTGGAGGCTAGTAATGGGGAAACCAGGGTACAACTTAAGTACAAACTTCGCAATTTGATAAGTAGATAAACTCTGTAAAATAGAACTTCTTCTTCCCACAGGAAGATCCGAGAGAAACGTCTGGCTCCTTCTGAAAAGTGTAGCTGTGCAATAAAGTTTTCTTATGTGGGTTTTTAAAACCATTTGTTTCCTGGTTGTTTATTTTGAAATAACACAAGCAAGCACATGTACTTTCATGCCAAGGTGCATGTGCAGTCAAACCTGTTAAAAGACCATTCGTTGGATCGTAAAATCTGGTCTATGTGGACAAGTGGTCACTATAACCAATGGAGAAAAAAAATATCTAAGGCACCAAGTGGTCACAATGGCTAGGTGGTCCTTATGTAGAGGTGGTCACTTGTACAGGTTTGACTGTACTTAGTAACTATGTGCTGTTGCAGCATAAGGGCTAGCCCAGAATTGTACGCATGTATAAATTGAAAAAATTTTGCTTCAGTTTTACCCCCGACAAACCCTCTCAAATAAATCTCCAACTTTTCAATTCAAGCAGAGTCCTAAGTTATTTGTCTTTCTTTTCAGAATATGTCCAATGTTAAATTATACAGCAGCTATGCTATGGGGTCCATGGAAAAGCATTTGCATTTCCCACTAACTGAAGCAATTGAAAAAAGGACAGATACAGCAAGGCAACTTTTTTCTCGATTTTATATATAATGTGGCCTATATTCTCACATTCAAGAATATAGAAGTTTGTGATATGAAGTTATTATGCCTACATATCTCATAGTGCTTATCAATTGATATGTAACTTACATGATGTTGCATGTATCTTGCATAGTACCAAATTTTACGCATTTATTGATTTATGGAATATCACCTTAATATCGACAACAACAATTCAGTATCGCAACTAAAATTTACATACACAAATTCTATACAAAAATATCACCCACACAGAAAGATACTTTTGTGCAAAAAAGCTGAAGTCAGGTTATATTTAACAATTAACCTAAATGGTTTACATTATGGTTGGGAATGTGCAGAAGTTGGTCGATATTGATGCTACAGTAATGCTAGTTTAGATTGTTACATTATTTAAAAAATTACATGTATACATACTTGTAACTGTTCGTTAAACAGATATTAATTTTTCTAATTTTATGTGTGAGTCATCCAGCACAAATAATAAGCCTTTAACACTACAATTGAACATTCGAAATACCTAATAAATTTACAATGTACTTCAGTAAGCAAAATTCATCTACAGGTAAAAACAGGTTTTTAAAAAATTCCACCTCAGTGAAGAAATTAAGTTTGGGAATACTGATAAAAAGATTGTTGTCTCTCTATAGCAATGATTCTGCCCTATTACATGTATCAACTAACACTAAATTTCGCTGCTTAATTAAGTTATCTAGGAGTGATATGCCCCCTCCATGGAAGGACCCATGTCCTCAGTAGTCAGGTAGAGGCAGGGTAATCTGTTTCACAAACTCAGGATACTTCACCACTCCGTTGGGCTGGATGTTTGCCTCTCGTAACATGTGGTCAACTGGAAAACATGGGGGAACACAGACATTAGCCTAGCACCCAGGCATATAGGATACTTTTCCAAAGCCGTTAGCCTGGCACACAGTCACATAGGATAGATACATGTACTTTTCAACACACATTAGCCTGACACCGAGTCTTGTTGGAAAGATACTATTCAACAGAGATTAGCCTGGCACCCAGTCATGTAGGACAGAAGGTATCTAACAGACATTAGTCTAGCACCTAGGCATGTAGGATAGATACTATTCAACAGACATTAGCCTGGCAACCAGTCATATAGGATAGATACTATTCAACAGATGTTAGACTGGCAACCAGTCATGTAGGATAGATACTATTCAACAGACTTTTGCCTGGCACCCAGTGAGTCATGTAGGAAAAGAACTTTTCAACAGATATTAGCCTGGCACCCAGTCATGTAGTATAGATACTTTTCAACAGACATTAGCCTGGCACCCAGTCATGTAGGAAAAGAACTTTTCAACAGACATTAGCCTGGCACCCAGTTATGTAGTATAGCAACTTTTCAACAGACACTAGCCTAGGATAGGATAGACACATATTTCAAGTTCAAAACTAGAAATCTAACATTTGCAAAACAAATGCCAGTTACCATGGTGACAGACATCTGGTTTAGGTCATTGACCTTATTTGTTTGGAGAAGAGGAAGAAGGAACAGAGCAAAAACAATATGTTTTCCTTTGGTAAACATAACAAAATTCCAGCCACTGTCACCTTCCCGATTAGTGAGCCTCTCCCCAGTCTTGGTGAGACAGTGCCTGAGCTCGGTTGCCATGATGAAGCCCCGCCCCTGTCTGTCCGTGTACTTGAGAGCATCCAGGATCTCCTTAGCGGGGTCTTCCTTCTGCAGCTGCTGGTGCATGATGGACAGGAAGTCTGAGAAGTTGATGTAACCTTTCCTGCCTGGAAAACATGAAGCAAATTTACTGTCAATTCGACTTGACTAATTTCACACCAGAAAGGTAACATTTGCAAAGCAAATGCATAATATTTACCTTTGCAGTTATGATCTGCTCTGTTAATTCTTACTCAAACACATTATATATGGTGACAGGAGTCTAAATCCCTCCTGCTATAAAATTGCAACATGATGTAACCCAACACTAGTTACCATGGTGACAGACGTCTGGTTCAGGTCATTGACCTTATTTGTTGGGAGAAGAAAAAAAACAGCAAAAGCAAAATGTTTTCCTTCACTTCAGTAAACATAATTAAAGGAGAGGAAAAAAGGAGGCATTCAATGGGTAACACTCCTCAAATAACCTCAGCCGAAAAACAAAGACATCAAACCACTACATGTATGCTGAGCCTCTTATATTTTGCATGGCTTGGATACCTTTGTCGAACTCCTTGATGTAAGCATTGACCTCCCCCTCAGTGACGGCCAGTCCCAGGGACCGCATCACAGTCTTCAGGTCCCGCGTATTGATACGGTTGTTGTGCTGTTTGTCGTACAAGGAGAAACACTCCTTGAACTCTGCATAAAGACAAGGTAAAATGAAGTCATAATTTTATTATCCTCATCACCATTCTGTTGCTGGTATTTGGTATTTTGTTGTATTAGGATTTTTGTCTTCAAATTTGTTAAACATGTTAAGTCAACTATGTCATGCCTCGAATTTAACTTTTCTTCCTATTGTCCCAAAAATAAATTTCAATTGTCCCAAAGTGAGGATGAACTGTCCCAACCTGTATTGTATGACTTTAACTTGAAGTCAACTTAATTTTTTTGCTTATGTTCACTCCCAGGCACTATAATTGCAGAGTAGACAGGAAATTCGGGGGACTTTTGCAGATCCAAAAGCCGGGACGTGTGCCTGATAAACAAAAGAAGGGCTGACATTCTGATGTTGATCATTTTTCTATTTATTATTTTTGTCCCCCCAAAAATGTCCCAAAGTGTATTTTTAGTTGTCCAAGCCTAAATTCTAGGCCTAATTTCCAGCCCTGCTATGTAATCTATATTTGACAGCCTAGCTGGCCATGGGTGTGTCCAAATACTTAGTCATGCAAGAGCTGGGGAGGGGCCGATTTTTTTTCAGCAAAACAAAAATATACCGGTACGTTTTATCAACATTTACGGCACGAATAACAACTTTTAAAAGTCTTACTTACCGTTGATCTGTTCCTGTGATAGAAACTGGGCCTGAAAATGAAGAAAAATGAGGTCAGTGATTTATAAGTGCTGGGAAAAGGCAATATTTTGAAGAAGTGAGAATAAAAATTCCTTCCAACCCACCATTTTGAAATCAAACTAGAGGTCAAAGGTGAATCACAACAAAAACAAAATGTTTATCCTCTGTTGATGTTTAAAAAATTACATGAAGATATCTATTATTAGTATAGAATAATAAAACAGGGATTAGATTAGTAGATATTTCTCTTAAAAACATTAAAAATTTAGAATATTTTGTTGTAGCTGTTCCTGGACATATGAATTTATGCCTGTTTGTATTTTATTGCTGTCTTTTTAATTGATTGTGTAAACAACATCTTTCTAGATAGACTCAAAATACATTGGAAGAATTATGGTTATTCAGGTATTATCTGCATAATTTCAATCTAATTTCAATTTTGTTAAAGCAGGCATAATAAAAGATACGAAAAACACCTATCAGTTGGGCTATACCATTTCGGTTGTAGGGGAGTCACATGTTCAACCAGAGGTCGTGACTTGTGTGGATGAGTGAAGGGGAGTTCCCGAACAGATCTGTCGTTTTGTCGTCTAAAATGCCCCCGAAACTGCGGAATTTCTGACAATTTCTGATCTTTGGAGAATTCTTGATGTGTTTTTGAACTTATCTTAGAGTTTCGTGAACGTGAACGCGTTAAATTCGTTCAGGTAAGGACTTCATTTGTTGGTGTAAACAAGTTAATCGTGGTCGCTTGAGCCTTGAGGGCATAATTTTAGATCTGACCTAGCGAACTACTCCTTTTTTGCTGCACACAAATTTTTTCCTTCCTTCTTTTAACTGCTATAATCTTTCATAGCGACAGTATGTTTGAATGATTGTAGTAAAACATATAGTTAGGTCTGTGGAGAGATTTGTAATAGTTTACACACCGGTATCAGAAAGTTGACCTATTCTGTGTAGTGGCGTAATCTGTGTAGTAAGTGGCGTAATAATTGCAACATCATTGTGACTTCTAGAACATTATTTGTATATCGTTGTTGTCTGTGATACGTTGTCTGTCTCTGTCTAAACAAAAACTTAGGCTTTTCAAGCCAACACTTTGTTTGCCCAGTCCTTGTAAAAAAAAATGTACAGTAATCTCTGTTATTATTGTCCCCGAAATTGATGGAAAACGTGGATATCACGTCTTGACGTCATCACGTGCCGAGCACGAGACGTGCCATACCTGACGTAGACGTCAGCGTAAACGTGGATGACTTACGACGCGCGCCTACGTAGATATAATCTACATAGTATATTTACTCCTAGCTGCTACTATAGATTTTGTGAATATGAAAAGAAAAGGGCAGAGTAGTGTAACAACGTGGGGGTTCATAGGCACTATCAACTGACCAATGGGTCTAGACCTTTTAGCCGAGTGGTTAGAGCGTCAGTGTGTGGTGCCCGGGTTTGGTCGTGGGTTCGAACCCCGGCCCGGGACCAGGGTTTTTTTTATCTGTTTCTACTCGCTCCTCCTGTTTCTTACAGATATATGGCTTATTTAGTATCTTAAGGACAACAAACTTGAAATCAAAATCATCACCTAAACTTTAGGAGTGTAACAACTCTATGTTTTGGTAAGATTAGAATTATTGTTTCTGATATTTTCAGATGTTTGTTTTCTCTTGTGATTCTATCATGCCATAGTGAATTTTCTGTGCCATTTGTAACTTTAAACCAAGAGGATATATTTTATTCATCATAGATTCCCAGGGGCTTTCCACAGATTTGATTTGTTTATACAGCATCACGGCATGCCTAATAATAAATTTATCAGAATACCGGTAACAGTGAAAATCTGTAGAGAGTTACAGAAAAAGTCAATGTTTCTGGTTTTAGAAATGTGGGCTCAGAACCAGTTTAATACATGTACAAGTACAAGTACAAGTCATACTCATAGTAGAAGAGAACAGTTACATTACTAGTATTGAATTGGCTGTAACTGTCTACTAAATAGGTCAACTCAAATGTGATCACAGATCTATCAAACCTCCCATATATGACAGATTAAGGGCAGGTGTCAATCAAAAGGCCAAACATCACATCTCATATGAGATCAGCCTGATTTATTCTGAATTGTCAACTTGTTATTGTGAACACAGACTAGTATGAGAATCTGTATCTGTATAGCTGGTATAACCACCCTTGGGCATGGCGGCAATTGGCTATATTACACCAAACGATTTGTTCTTAAGTATTAGGATGTAGCTGTTTCATGGTTAATTTTTTCCCTGTTCAGATGTAGCAAAAGTGTGGTGTGATGATTGTTGTTTTCCCCTGACTTGTTTAGAAAGCAGGTTTTTCACGATTTGTTCCTTTCCCCTGTTCAGGACAGAGTATATGAGAATTCAGCTACATTTATTTTCATGAGTTGCTTTTTTTCCCCTGTCCAGATGTAGCTGAACTGCGGTGTGATGATTGAGCCGGCGCGGGAATCAGGCTCGTCCGTCGCTGCGATCCAGGACAGGACGGCAACTTTGGAGCAAGAGGAGGAAATCAGACGGGTCAGTTCAGTCGGGGTAAAATCCCACCTTGTAGACAGTCAATAGGTACCCTCGGGGTATAAAGAGACCTCTCCTAGCGATAGGTTGTGTCTGTATGGCAGTAACAGTCCTGACATGTGCAGTGTAGTTCAGGGAATGGATATTCGCATGTGGTCAGTCAATATGTTAACGTATACTGAAACCCTTCCTAGGGGTTCCGCCACTCGTGTTTTAAAAAAGAAAAAAGATAAAGCATTTGACATCAGACTGAGAGACTGATGATAACACAAGCATGATCCGGTAGCAAGGTGGTCTTTTGATTTGGGTTGTTGACTCAAAATCTGAAGGTTCTGGGTTCGAATCCCTAGCACTCAGTAGCAGGCCACATTGTTGTATACATGGGAAAGGCACTTCACAAGGGGTAAAGATGGACAAAGATAAAGCAGTTACTTTTTTCTTAAGCTTACTTTAAAGCTAGTTGAGCAATGCAGCTTTGCCACGGCTTGCCTATTTGGCCAAACACACTGGCAGTACTATAGGTCACCCCTACTTTTCTGGTAGTATTAAAGTGTATAAACTATAGCAATTCAATACTGTGGTTTTTTGCACCTCAATTACGTATTTCCCAATAAAGAAAAGTTAATGATGTTCTTCATCATAGATTAGACATTGCCACCTTGGGTAGGCTGAAATTTGTCGGCAGCTTCTCTGAAAATGGCAAGCAGTTGTATGTAGTAGGTTGAAAATGACATAGTATTTGGGTATGAAGAACACATCTACTGATACTATACTAGCCTGGTTACTAAACCTATTTTAGCGCTCCTCTCCGCAAATAGAGACATTGCGGAGAAAATGTAGGACTCGGGAGCTAAAATAGGTTTGGTAACCAGGCTAATATTGTACAAGGTGACCTTAAATGACACCCATGTCCTTAAATGACACTGACTGACCTATGTACCTTATTGTGAACACGGCACGAAAAGTGATATTTAAGCACGCTTAAACACAGCGTAAAGGCCGCGTTTCTTCCCACTTTCCGCACCTTTACGACCCCTAAACGCGAACGTAAAGATTGCCTTAACGTGGACTTTCCGGAAGTTCGGAAAGGGCATTTATTTTCCCACTTTCACGGTGCCTTTCCGCGACTTTCAGATGCTTAAAGGCGTAGTTAAGCAAATCTTTCCGTGCCCTTTACCACGAATCCTTCACGGAAAGCATGTGTTTATTCTGGCCTTTCCGTAATCTTTTGGGTACCTTTAACATTTCTTTACGTCATACATTTTACGTCGGAACCTGCACGGAAAGCATGCGTTTATTGTAGCCTTTCCGTAGTCTATTGGGGGCCTTTAAAACTTCTTTCCGTCATGGTTTTCGGGTTTTGCTGTACGCTTAAAGGTGTCGTAAAGTATCCTTAACGTGTGCGTAATATTGACGTTTATTTTGCTTTATTTGTGCGTTTATTTGCCGTTAATGAACAGTAAATTTCTGTGCCATAGGTAGCCTTTCCTGCCTTGGTAGACTGGCTGGATAGGGCCGTCGGTAGCCTGGATGCCATAGCAAAATATACCCAAAGTTCTAGTGTGCCTTTCATCCAGGCTAGGCCGTCGGGGGAGTAGCTGCCCGAGCGGCAAACTCCACTCGGAGTTCTTAACTCCCCCGTAGCGCCCATGTAGATTGGCGGGCATACTGCCATGTTCCGCCGACGGGGACTGGCTGAAGGCCCGATCCAGACTGGCTACCAGGGCAGGTTTTCCTTTGTTGTATCCGAGTACACAGCCACTATTCCAATTCCTGTGTCCATTTTCCCGCTATTCCATGTGATGTGGTCACCGCAAGAGTAATAATCCGCTAACTTGTTCCCGTGGATGGTCAGGTCGCGCTCTTGCTCAACTTCTGTGCTGCTCCCGGTTAGCACGATGCAATACGGCCGTGATCTTCCCCTTCTGCGCCGTGACATGTCCAATACTAGTACAATGTATCTCCAATCTACGCCATCCCACAGACTTGTACAGAATGGTATAGATTTGTCTTAGTCCCGTCGTGGCCACTTCTGGTGATAAAAGCAATGTCTTGGACACAACTTGCGGGTTCAAACGAGTCCAAGCCTCCATAGAGTAGACGCACAGCAAAATGACTACTGGTATATTCAGTAGATTTGAAAAACCCACTCTTGTCTATCATTGGGTAAAGGCCTGTCACATGACCTCCTCCAGGCAGAAAGGGCGGAGATTCCCCAAACGGTCTTGTCATATGAATGGCGTTCGGGCTTGTTCACGGGTTGGCAATGAATAAATTCACATTTGGAAAACAAAAAGGAACCTCGTTGCCTGAACACAACAAATAGGCTAAAGAAACTAGAAATACTAGTAATGCCTGTGCATCCATGATTTTTTAACTGTTGAACTCTTGCTGCAAAGAATATTCGGCATGTATAAGAAAGAAAACTTTGCGGCGGAAAAAAATAAAAGTAGCTTTATAACAAAGCATACAAGGAAAGGGGAAAAGTTGGCGGAAAGCTTGTATAAAAGAAGCAATGAAAGAAACCGCAAGTTTTGGGAGAGCGACGTATATAAACAAATAGAAATAGTCTACAGTACATACAGCGCCCTACGTACTGGCACGGACCGTAGTAAATTTCTGATAGGTTGTTGACTCAGAAATTATCGGTTCCTGGCTGATAACGTTGCCTAGCCTAGCCTCGGACACAAATGCTGCAAACCCGGCCAGTTTTAGCAAATACCGGTTTTGTACTAAAACAATAATTTCATCCGCTCCATACATCTCCCAAACAAGATTTTGAAATAGCGAATTCCTCAGTATTATATCGTTCTATTGCAGGTTATTGCAGACTTTTAGGGCGGATTCTCTGTTACTTAGAAGTTCGCAAGGATTTCTTGCCTACCCTAGCCTCGGACAAAAATGCTGGCAACCCGGCCAGTTTTAGCATATACCGGTTCTGTACTAAAACAATAATTTCATCCGTTCCATACATCTCCCGAACAAGATTTTGAAATAGCGAATTCCTCAGTATTATATCGTTCAATTGCAGGTTATTGCAGACTTTTAGGGCGGATTCTCTGTTACTTAGAAGTTCGCAAGGATTTCTTGCCTACCCTAGCCTCGGACAAAAATGCTGGCAACCCGGCCAGTTCTAGCAAATACCGGTTCTGTACTAAAACAATAATTTCATCCGCTCCATACATCTCCCAAACAAGATTTTGAAATAGCGAATTCCTCAATATTATGTCGTCCCATTGCAGGTTATTGCAGACTTTTAGGGCCGATTCTCTGTTACTTAGAAGTTCGCAAGATTCAAAGAAACGCAACATTTCCTGCAGCTTAACGACGCCTATACTGTATAGGGGAGATGTCTCTCCGTCGGCGGAAAGCTTGTTTATAGAACAAGGAAAGGAACCGTATGTTTTTGGAAAGCCAGACATAAACATATAGAAATGACTTGGCATATTAATGTTAGATTTTGCGGCGATTCAGCGAGAAATCATGGAATATATCTAATATTTCAGGTAAAACCAAATATGAAAAAGCATATAAAATGCTTGTGTTCAGTCGCGCGAGGTGGGTAAGGACTTTATTCATAATAATCAAAAAGATCATATGGCTTTGAGATGCTTCTAGTTAACTCATTACCGCAATGCTTTCTTTACATTACATTTAAGTCCATGTAAAGCTTACGGAAAGAAACACGTTATATTAACGTGACATTTACACATGTGGAAAGGTTACGGAAAGGCGATATTTCCCTTTCAGTTGCCTTTCCGATGTCGTAAAGGCTGCTTAAATATTTCGCCGCCTTTAATACCTCTTAACGCAGTTCGTAAAGTTGGCTTAAATATGCGTTTTCGTGCTGTGGAACTCACAACCATTTTTAAAGGGAGGGTTCTCCAAGCAGATGTTTGGATAGAAAATTTCAGTCAACCCTGAGACTAGATTGATATCAATAGTTTTGCACCAGGTGTTTCAAAATGTTTTGTAGTTGTTGCAGAACTTGTTCTGTTTCCATAGCAACATGAAAAAGTTTGTAGTTGTTCCAGAACATGTTCTGTTTCCATAGCAACATGAAAAAGTTGTTTGTAGTTGTTCCAGAACGTGTTCTGTTTCCATAGCAGCATGAAAAAGTTTGGTAGTTGTTCCAGAACCTGTTCTGTTTCCATATATATAGCAGCGTGAAAAAGTTTTGTAGTTGTTCCAGAACGTGTTCTGTTTCGATAGCAGCATGAAAAAGTTTTGTAGTTGTTCCAGTACTTGTTCTGTTTCCATAGCAACATAAAAAAAGTTTTGTAGTTGTTCCAGAATTTCTTCTATTTCCATAACAACATGAAAAAGTTTTGTAGTTGTTCCAGAACTTCTTCTGTTTCCATAGCAACATGGAAAAGTTTTGTAGTAGTTCCAGAATGTGTTCTGTTTCCATAGCAACATAAAAAAAGTTTTGTACTTATTCTAAAATGTGTTCTGTTTCCATAGCAACATGAAAAATTTTTGTAGTTATTCCAAATTGTGTTCTGTTTCCATAGCAACATGAAAAAGTTTTGTAGTTGTTCTAGAACTTGTTCTGTTTCCATAGCAACATGAAAAAGTTTTGTAGTTGTTCCAGAACATGTTCTGTTTCCATAGCAACATAAAAAAGTTTTGTAGCTGTTCCAGAACTTGTTCTGTTTCCATAGCAACATGAAAAAGTTTTGTAGCTGTTCCAGAACGTGTTCTGTTTCCATAGCAACATAAACAAAGTTAAATAGTTGTTCCAGAACATGTTCTGTTTCCGTAGCAACATGAAAAAGTTTTGTAGTTGTTCTAGAACGTGTTCTGTTTCCATAGCAACATGGAAAAGTTTTGTAGTTGTTCCAGAACATGTTCTATTTCCATAGCAACATGGAAAAGTTTTGTAGTTGTTCCAGAACGTGTTTTGTTTCCATAGCAACATGTAGAAGTTTTGCAGTTGTTCCAGAACTTGTTCTGTTTCCATAGCAACATGAGCGGAGGAAAGTGGTGGCTAACCTGGCGGCTGGAGCCATCGCAGGAGCCATCGCTAAGACAACAGTCGCTCCGCTAGACAGAACCAAGATTATGTTTCAAGGTAAGATACATTATATCATACCCGGGCCGCAATAACGTTCGATAACGGGTTCCGGACCGGGCCGTACCGTAAAGTACGCCATGGCTTCCATGCCTTCTATAGAACGATTCGAACGCGTTTTGCCCTAACTGCATGTGCCGCTTCGAATACATTGTACAGAATCTGGACATTGGAACTGATGTTGTTGCATTTTAGGGTTTAGTGGCACCAAGTTTTGGCTCAACTTGTGTTGAAATGCACGTTTTTTTGGGTGGGTATGACTTAAATGAAATACAACACGGTGTATTCCGCATCGCCCTCGGTCCCGGCCCTCCAGCGAGTCGGGCGGTCCGACCCACGGTCGGGCCGATACCTCGGGCGATACGAAATACCCCGGCGTGTTGTATTCTATATTTACACAACTTTTAACAGTAGGGCCCAACAAAATTTAAAGTGCTCTACAGTATGTCCCACACATGCCTACCTTATAATTATGCCACTCCCACAATTTACAACATTTGTACTATGTATTGTAAGTTCAAAGACCCCATTATGACTCCTGGCTACCAGCCTTTTACTGTATCCTCAACTGTAGTTGTTGGTATCTGGGCACAGTTTAATTAGTAAGGATAAGCCAGCCAGGTAGTTTAAAAGTATTGTATCTAGGCAACCTATTGTGATATTGTATACCACAGTAGTAGTGATATACAACCTGTATTAAATCTGTTTATAGTGATTCAATTGAATTGGGTTCTTGGTGCTTGGGTCAATGGAAAATATAGTCGGAGGCACAAATGTCTCTTATTTAGTGCGTATACAGAGGTGGTCATTTAATCAGTATAGTACTATTGTTATTGTCTTGGTAACACACACACTTGCAGTTTGATGACTTTTTTATTGTACCCCTGGTAATGTATGCTGTAACATGTTTGTTCTTTTTTTCAGTGTCTCATAACAGATTTTCAGCAAAAGTAAGTCAAATCTCAATGATATGATGCCAGTAGGTAGTCATAGCTTTTAATGCTGAGATATTGGAGTTTTCTTTTTTTTTCACAACCAGTAATACATGTATAATATAACTGTAGTGCTTCTTTTTGTCACTATTAAAGCAAATTCTCCAATGACTAGTATTGTAATATGATTTAGTAGTTACTTAAATAATGCAATATACACTGTCATTTAATCATTATTCTTAGGGGTAAACAGTTGATTTTGTATCCCTTTCAGGAAGCTTACAAAGTCATCTTTAGGACGTACAAGAATGAAGGGTTCTTCAGTCTATGGAGAGGAAACTCTGCCACCATGGCCAGAGTCATACCCTATGCTGCAATACAGTTTGCCTCTCATGAGCAGTACAAGAAAATGTTCAGGGCTTCCTACAAAAAACTGTAAGTTGTAGATGTCTTAGATTCACTCAGGAGAAAAATTGTTGTTTCCATTTTTCTGACCCTAGTAAAAGCCTGCCGACCCTAACCTTTCTTTGGTTGACCGTTGGCAAGGAACTTAAAATAGAAATATGAATAAGAACACGACCCTGCTCCAGTGACCTCAGGTGACTCCATATGGAACACATGTTCTATTTAAGTTTGTATGTGTTATACAGGAATGTGTCACTCTTAACTGTGTAAGTTTTGATAATAATGTTAATGGCCCACCCTTTCTCATTATATATGGTGTGATAAAGCCTTGTCAGTTGCTATAACCACCTCATAAAGCCACAAACCAAGAACGCTTAATATATTGTTGTTGTTTTTGTTGTTGTTGTTGTTGCAGAAAGTCGCCCCCACCCTACACCAGGTTCCTGGCAGGCTCCATGGCTGGAGTGACAGCGTCTGTCTGTACCTACCCACTGGATATGGTCAGGGCCAGGATGGCTGTCACTAAAAAGGCAAAGTATGTAGCTTTGGGTTTTACACTAGCCTGGATGCCAGGCCCATAACACAACAGGCTCTGAGTTAGCCAGTGTGCCTGGGCCTAACTGAGGGTGGCTGTGGTATAATTTCCTTGGCCTAGAGCCAAGGAACTGGCTTGTGTTGGCCCTGGAAACAGCCTGGCACCCAGGCTAATTGAGGAGGGCTGTGGTATAATTTTCTTGGGGGCATGTTGGTGCTAGAGCCGAGGAACTGGCTTGGGTAGGCCCTGGAAACAGTCTGGCACCCAGGCTAGTTTTACACCAAGTTTACCATACTTACCAGTCAAGTGATCCATATGGCTATATGTACTGGGGTTTTTTTTTTACCTAATGGACATTGTTGAAAATAAGCAAATTCTCTTACCTATCTAACAATGCCATGCAGTTTCACAAGAAGGTATACTAATGTTAGAAAGTTTGCATGAACAATAAAATAAGAAACCAGGCTCCTTCTTCTTTTCTATGTTTGCGATTTTCGCAGTCACTTCTGCTAACTTATGTAAGCATTAACAAATACTTTGCTGACTTTCTGTCTTTTTGCGCATGCTGCCACCGCAAATGTATAGTTCTGTGAATGCTTCCATTTCCCTAGGACCACAAACTTTTGCTATGGTGAAGTTGCAGTATAGCCATGGACAGCTCTCATAGTTTCTGCTTTTTGCGCTAAGGATTTTAATACCGCCGTTTAGTCTAACTTAGAGGGTGTTATCTTCTAAACCAGCTTGATCCATAAACTTCCAAAGAAAAACAAACCGTGGTCCACCTTCTCCACAGATACAGCAGTCTTCCCGACTGTTTCGCACACATTATCAAAGAGGAGGGTGGTTTGACCCTGTACCGTGGGTTCACCCCCACTATCCTGGGAGTGATCCCCTACGCAGGCACCAGCTTCTTCACTTACGAAACTCTGAAGATTCTACTGGCAGGTGAGTACTCATCAGGTAGACATGGAGGGGAGCTATGGGTCTGGGCTCATCAGGTAGAGTGAGGGAGAGCTATGGGTCTTGGTTCATCAGGTAGAAATGGAGGGGAGCTATGGGTCTGGGTTCATCAGGTAGAAATGGAGGGGAGCTATGTCAGTGACATATTTTAAATTGTGCAAAGTTGAAACATCTTTTTCCCTGACATTATTTATCAGATACCTTTGACCCAGTGACACTTCATAGAAGCCACGTGACAAGTCTCACTGGGTCAGTCTATTGAAGAAGACAAGAGTAACCGGTCAAAAGCTCTAGTTTATAACATTTTCCTTTTGTGTTGGAACAAAAAGTTTTAACTTTAGACATCTCCCCCCCACCCTCACTGGGTCAGTCTATTGAAGAAGACCAGAGTGACTAGTCAAAAGTTCTTAGCCTGTAGTTTACAACATTTACCTTTTGTGTTAACATGTACCTTTTGTGTTAGAGCAAAAGTTTTAACTAAAAAAAAGTTTTATCCTCAAGCATCTTACCCCAGAGTGACCAGTCAAAAGCTCTAGTTGAGAACATTTTTCTTGAGTTGGAACAAAAGTTTTACCTTTAAACATCTTTTTCTCCCCCTAGACTTCACAGGAGGTAAGGAGCCCAACCCCATCCAGAGACTGATTTTCGGAATGCTGGCGGGACTTTTCGGTCAGTCGGCTTCATACCCTCTCGACGTGATTCGCCGACGCATGCAGACCGAAGGAGTGACGGGAAACCCCTGTAGTAGTATACTAGGGACCGCGCGGATGATTATCAAAGAGGAGGGCGTGAGGAGGGGGCTGTACAAGGGACTCAGCATGAACTGGGTCAAAGGTCCCATCGCTGTAGGCATCAGCTTCACGACCTTTGACCTTACCCAGCGGACATTGCACAGACTTGCCATGTTCAAAGACACCTGATGAAAAAAATTTTTTCCTCCTTTTTTTTTAACAAAAAATCGTCGGTAAATGTTGTATAGATTTTCTGGGATAATATTTTTGCATGATTGTAAGATTCAAACCTTGGTTGCCTCTACATAAAATTCATAAACAAATGTCTACAGAAATGATATATCAAGCTTCAACTATACGGTGGTGTCTGTTATGCACAGTGGTGTGCACATTCCTGTACCCTAGTATTTATCTATTAGTCTAAACGTATAGGAATGCACATCTAGTGAACAGAAGTTGGTCATCATGTATTATTATACATGTACTGTATACTGGGGATAACTGGTGTATCTACATATCTATTCTATTACAGGATATATGTTTGTGGTCTACTCAAAACCTTTGAATTAGAAGGTTGAATGTTATGCAATATATAGCAAAGGTGAAAAAGTTCCCCCCGTGTAAAAATGGTACTACCCAGCTGTATTCTTGGTGCTGCATACTTGGATCACAACATGTCAGAATACGGGGGGGATTTTTTGGTTCATAAGTGTTGGGGATTTGAGAATATGTACCTCGGAAATCACCGGCAAAAACATATAGTTTACTGTGACAATGTTGGCCAGTATATTGTAGAAAGCCACACATACAAAAATGTACATGTATGTTGAGTGTAGCAGTTTTATCAGTGGATGTAAAGATAAAGTATATAGAAAATGAATTTTGGAATGTTGTTGATGTAATATCGCATGTTTATTAAAATAACAAGATGGAAAATGACAATGTCTTATTGAGTTGTGGTCTCTGACATTTTAAGAGGATTTTCAAGAGATGCTTTTCTGTGCTAGCGTCAACATGTAGGGTAATGCCCATCTTAGACTGTTTTTGGCGACGTCTCAGGGAGGAGCCTAATGGTACAGCAGTGTGTGCAGTTTACAAGAATTCTAGGAATTGTACAGGAATTTTGTCCACAGTCATGGAATGTCCACAGGAATGTCTCCCAGCTCTGTTTGCTGACACCTATGCCCACATTCCTGGAAACCCTTGGGAAAACCTGGATGCCCTATTTTCTGTGACCCTGGGGCTCGTTCACTATACACTCTGGGGAGGAGTGCACTGTATCTGTCTAGACTTAACAGGTACCAAGGCTTCCTCAAAATGTATGTTTTTATTGCCAGTCTTGTTAGATTAGAGCCTTTCGGATACACTACTGCTACAGAAGGGCTAAGGGCTGGTGTGTGTTCAACTTCTATTATTTGTAAAGTATGACATGGATTGAACCTGCAACCTACCATATGCAGGTGCATATACTCTACCCAAGGCTATTTTACCGGCTACTCTAATACACACTCTAGGTAGGCTAATACACATGTATCGTCTGCATCTAGGGTTCAAGTTTAACTATTTCGCTGTTGTTAATTTATCTATTTTTATCCTTCTTTATTAGTGTTTAATGTATGATCGTTCGCAAGGTGTGCTTTAGGTGCAGTATTGAAGACAGCCGCTGGGCGGCGTTATTTGCCCTTGTGCTCACTGGTGCGTACAACCTGATGACCGCGCCCCTTACCTGTCACGTCACATGACGTCACCGTCCAAACCCGGAAGACCACGTCTAGGTTAACACCTGGAGGAAACTTCACAAGTTTAGTCAACATTTTTAGCGATTATCTTTGAAGTCGAGAGTTTCAGACCACCATGTCAGACCCAAAAGTTCACCTGTTGAAGGCCATCGGTAGAGGTGACGTAAAACTGGCCCGGGTGCTTTTGGAGGGCGGGGAACTCAACGTGAACGGCCCGGTCGTGTCTGGGGAGGGGGGCGCTGATTCTCCCGAAACTTCTACTTTCCTCTGCCACGCTTGTGACATCGGGAAACTAGACATGGTCGAGCTTCTAGTAGAGAAAGGGGCTTCCTTAAATCTACAGGAGGGGGCGTCCACTAAAGAATACCCACTCTGGTATGCAACAAGGTCTGGAAACGTCAGCTTAGCAGGCTTTCTTGTGGAGAAAGGTGCAAGTGTGAAACAAACTAACGCGAACGGGACGACGCCTGTGCACAAGGCTATGGAAGTCGGGGACAGGGAGGCGTCTGTGAAACTAACGGAGCTTTTCTTGGCTCACGGCGCGGAGGTGAACGCCAAGAACAGGTGGGGGAATACACCTGCTCACCTGGCCGCCAAACGTAACAACGTGGACGCCATGTGGGCGCTTATAGCGAGCGGAGCGGACACAACCTGTAAGAACAACGAGGGGAACACCGTGTATGACCGCGCTCGGTTTTACGGCTCCGAGGCGGTTAGGGACTTCATTCTTCGCCGGGCTGCGGGGAGAGTTTCCCGGGAGACAGAACCAGAAGGAAGGTTCGGGAATTATTTGCCGCCCTCAACTCCCAAAGCGCAGGTACCGGTAGACGTTCTTCTGAACATAATCGACAGTCAAAGAAAACGGCTGGACGAACTACAAGAGAAGTATTCAGACCTCCGCACCGAAATGACAGAGATACGAAACAAGGTGTTCGGAGCAGGACCACAGTCTGAGGATGGAGCTATAGCTACGCCGATGTCAGACAGACATAAGGACATTTTACGCTCACACCACACCGAGCTGATACAAGACATGCAGCCCAACGCCGTCATCGACTACTTGTACCAGGAAAACGTCTTAGACGACCAACTTCAGGCGGAAGCCAAGGCGCAGACGACACGGCATGACACCAACAAGAAACTCCTGGAAATCGTTCCAACTCGAGGGGATCGGGCGTTCTATGTCTTCCGCCATGGCCTGATCAAGACTAAACAACAGCACCTAGCCGACATGTTGGAGGGACGGGCCGACAGTTAGGACTAACTCACAAAGGACAAGAGAAAATGTTTGCCTCTATATATAGGCTGCAGGGGCGGCGTTTGCCAGTTTTGTGTTGATTACGTTTATACAGAATATCATTTAAATAATACTAATAAGAATAATAAATAACTGTTCTCAGGTACAAATCTGCGGCTATGCCCATAGGCAACGCCGGATCGGTACACCAAATCAGTGTGAGTCATTAATTACGTTTACCGAAGGAAAACATATTGTTTTTGCTCAGTTTCTTCCTCTTCTTCTTCTCCAAACAGTGACCTCTGACCTGACCAATGGCATGATTTGTTGACGTCTGTCACCATGGTGACTGGGGTTGGGTTACATAATGTTGCAACTTCATGGTCTGCTCTGCTCCTGTAACCATATACTACTAATACATGTATGTGAAGGTGTTTAAGTAAGAATTAACAGAGCAGACCATGTCTGAAGGTAAACATTATGCATTTGCTTTGCAAATGTTACTTATCTAGTGTTCTTATACAGTCCGTTCCACTTTTCCTTGTGTCTGGCCTGATCTCGTAGCCACTTCAGTACGTAGGCCTCAGCTTTTACCCTTCGAACATTTCAGTTGCTTTCCGTAGGCATATGAGAGTGAGTGCACAACCACAAATATTCTATAGAACGATCTGTATCATTAGCCAAGACTGTTCTTCGTAAAATTAATCGGAAAGTTGGTGCACATTGTGATCTGTGTGACGTAGACTTGCATGTATTTGAAGATAGTTTCGTATCGCTTCTTATGTTTGTGTTTATCTTTTAATCCAAAGCAATAGGCAAACGTTCCTTGAAGAGATATAGGGACCTTGTATAGCTTGTTAACTATGCAATATGAACTGCTGGCATGTGTCTGTACATAAGTTGTTTTCCAATTTGAATAAATCATTCAAAGGAAGAGTATTTGACATAAAATAGTTTTTAAAAAATCTCTTGCCACAGACATTAACGCCTGTCAATTTGAACAACATCCAGTGTGCATAGCACAAAATGTTACATCATAGTTTGCTTTACATGTATACAGGCCACAAGTGTATAGATGTTCTAGAAATAGTCTTTGTCGGTCTCTGTTGTCTGTTCCCTCCGTTTGACAACATCTACTTCATCCACATCGTTCTCCAGACCGGTAGGTTCTGTGGGAAGAGGGCAGAAGAAAGTTTATTTTTTAGAAATTGTTGTCACAAGTTGCCAGTCTCACCAAGGAACTTTCAATAGTTTGGTCTCACCAGAGATTCCATGTAGCTTAAGCTTGTATCCGCAGTTCCGCACACAGTGTGTACCACATTGTATAATAAGTTTCCAAACGAGGTTCAGTTCATAGGTCAAAATTATACTGTCATGAAAGTTCATCTGTGTTGGTAGTTACATGTTTAAAGTTAAAACTTTTTGGTCCAACACAAAAAATTCTCTCACCTAGAGTTTTCTCTACCTTTGACCCAGTGTTGACGTCACACTTCAAAGAAGCCACGTGACAAGCCTCACTGGGTCAGTCTACTGAGGAAGACCAGAGTGACTGGTCGAAAGCTCTAGGTGAGAGAACTTTTTGTGTTGGACCAAAAGTTTTAACTTTAAACAGGTCTAAATTATATTAGGAAAGCATAAAATCTTGGCAGTGATATATTCAGAGCATGAGATATACGGAGACCTGAGTTTCCACTGCCGTACCATAGAAGGTCGCTAGGAGGTTCAATTCATAGAATCTCACCTTCTAATATAGGGTCGAAAACAGCGTGGTCTCCAGTAGGGATGTGGGATGTCTGTTTCTTTGGGTGTTGCTTGACGTGGACTTCCCTCGGAGATTCAAGTACTGAATCTGAGGGAAAGAGTTAAAGAAAACCGTTACCAACAAACCATTACTTTAACTTTTCATCTTCTGTAACAAATTCAAGTGACCTACTAGGTAAGTGAAACTATTATTCTGTCGGCATTGGAGGTGAGACAGTGCTAGTGAGACTTTGAAAGACCAACTTCACAGTCATTGCAGTTTTTATTGATATTCATCTGGCGAAGTTTCGTATACGTGTACATGAACTGTGAAAAGTAACATATCACACAACCCCTTCTACTAGTACAGTAGTTTCACTAGGTCTGCTAACTGTGGTTATTTCAGGAAAAAGTTTATCTGTTAAATTTAAGGAAAAGAAAGCTTGTGAGCCTACCGTGCAATTTAGAGTTCTGTTCTTGAAGGCGTAGCACATCTTGTCTTCTGGTTTGGTGTTTTTCCTCCTTTTCTCTGTCCTCGTGTGAACTCATACCATGGAATCGGCCTTCGGAAACTTCGCCCTGACTAGACGAGTGTTCCTTGCTGGACTCAGCGTGTTTAGGAACCGGTTCAATAAAGTTGACGTCTTTAGAGTTGTCGAGAACAATCTCTTCACCAGTGCTGTCTTCGCGGAAGGTGGCTACATGGCTTCTCCAGTCGTCGCCACCGTTTGAGGTGCGCTCTTCAGTGTTGTCGCTAGAGGGCGCAACGCCACGGTTGTCTGTTGTGGTAAATTTTCCTTTTGGGTGAAACTTCGACATCTGTTGGTCACTACTAGTGATAGGACCAGAAATATAACGCGTTGGTTTTCTTAAGTTTTCCTGACTGCTTGCTGTGCCGTATGTTGTTGGAGGATTCGCGTGTGTCGAAACTTTTCCAGCTACGTTATTGGAAACAAAGTTCGGTTGCCATTTGCCATGGTTTTGTCCCAAGGAGGGCAGTATTATTATTCCTGGCCTAGCCTGCTTTGGGACGGTATTTTGGACTCCTCTCTCTTGTCCAGCGACAGTAGGCCATTCAGTTTCCTGTTTCCAACCGCCACTTCTGTCTCTTCCAGACAAGGGCGAATACCCCTGATATTGCTGGCTGCCTTGGTTTGGATAGGAAACTTTCTCTGAAGCTCCGCCCCTTGTGAAAGCGTTTTCTGAAGCTCCGCCCCTTGTGAAAACGTTCTCTGAAGCTCCGCCCCTTGTGAAAGCGTTCTCTGAAGCTCCGCCCCTTGTGAAAACGTTCTCTGAAGCTCCGCCCCTTGTGAAAGCGTTCTCTGAAGCTCCGCCCCTTGTCCTGCCATAGTTCTGGTTGTAGAATCTGGTTGGTTCGTTGCTCTCGCCAAACGCACTTGGCAGGTAAGCCGACGTATCGTGCTTGACACGTTTGGATGCTGTCTTAGCCCTGACTTCGGCTATGGTAGTGTGTCTAGATCTTGGGGCAGGTTGACTGTTGGTAGAACCTTGTTTCAAAGCGGCACGTCGGATAAGGAACTTCTTCTGTAAACATGTATAACTTGTCAATACCTTAATGACAACATCAAAACTACGTGAGTTATGTATATGTATTTGTATTTGTACAACCTGTTCTTCGTCACTACTTACACAGGGAAAAGAAGTTTCAAGAAGAATTGAAAACAACAGCAAATCAGAAAAAATAAATAAATAGATAAATCATTATATTTCATCCATTCCTATGGTATGAAGTGAAATACAAGTTATTTTTCATCCATATTTATTGTAAGTATAACGTTGCCATGTATCAAAAGGACTGATAACAAGAAAAATAGCAAAGACAACACAATATTGAAATGACTTACAACCACACACACACACACACACGGTACAACATGTACAGAAGTCCTGATAAACATATTGGGTGAAACTGGATGAAAACCTTCCACAAGTCATTCCTACGGAGTCCTACCGCCAAACAAATCCCGGTCGGTTGGGCTTTGGGGTCTTCCCGGTCCCACACACACTCCTGGAACGCCAGGCAGTCTGCGTCAACCAGACAGGGGGCGCTTCTCTAGACACAACAAACAACAAGTCACTATGGTGACAGACGTCTGGTTCAGGTCATTGACCTCATTTGTTTGGAGAAGAAAAGGAAGAATAAACAGAGCAAAAACAGTATGTTTGCCTTCTGCAAACGTAAGCATAACTAGAAAGGTAACATTTGCAAAGCATAATGTTTACCTTCGCATACGGCATTTCAGACAACGATAACGGCATTTCAGACAACGATAACCTGATTTTGTCTTTGCCCAACTCTGCTTGAAAATAGGGGTTGGCTTGACGTAATACCCACCGTTGGACGCCGTGAGAGCGCAGCTCCGGACGGCTGTTGTGAGAGGAAGGCGGTCAGCACCAAGGACAGGACCCACCGCCGCATCTGTACGGGGAACACGTTGTTCGCTACCCTGGATGCCAGACTAGTATCGGGCCGCTAACCCTTTCCCTTCGGCAGCCAAGAGCCCTTCGCCCGCCGGGCTAAATTACCGCTACGGGGAGACAAGC